AGTATATTATTATATCCCATGTAATTAGTATATTAGTATATCGCTATTAACCTACTTCGCGTTGAATTTTCATCGATGTTAAGCCTAACAAAAATTTTTTAAAATAATAATCGTCGCTATTGTATCGTTAAAAATTAGAAAATTAAGCCTCGTTTAAATACTGGTTTCCTTTCATGGTCGAATGAGTGTTGCCAGCTAAAACACGTAAAAATAATATTAAAGTAGCCAAGACATAGCCAAATATTGTAGCACCACATCACTAGCAGACATTTGAAATTTGCTGACTAGGACGGTCGGTTAACCGAGGTGTCGGATAATCGAGGCTCTACTGTAAAAACTCTAAGGGAGACCCCATGAACTTTGACCTATTGGCCTGTAAGTTTCACAAGCACCTCACTGATAACAAGAAAGGCTTAAGTTTAAATTTTGAGCTTTCTAGACCAAGTAGTTTTTCTCTAAAAGCTGGACAAAGAAAAGAAGAAGAAAAAAATACAGCTTTTTTGGTGATTTTTGCACTTTAATTGCTTATAATTTGGAACTCTTTTATAGAAAAATCTGAAATTTTGCACACTTCCTAAGAAAACAGATATCTTTCAAACAAGATTTTCAGACTTACTATAGGCATTTGAGATAAAGAAACTGAGTCCTGAAAATCAGAAACTCTGATTCCTGTGTGTGTGTATATACACACACAGTCAGTGAATTCTTAATTAATTTGTATTAAATGTCTTAAATTATAGTTAAAATTAATAATTGAAGATCAAGACTTTACCTTCAAGAGTAAGGGTATCCACATCTTTAGTTTCAGTATCTTTATTTTCATTAGTAATATCATCATCTGCATTTCTCATTTCAACATCATTTGAATGTTCTGTGACCATCTTGAAAAATTAAATTACTAGAAATAAATGATTTTATTTTGTTTAATATTGTGCATGGACAGACTTTAAATAATATCAATTATGTATTAGTTATAAATGAATTTATAATTTGTAGATTAATAAAATAAAAATGATTACTAGAAATAAAATAATAAACTCTAATAAAAAGAGAAAAATAATATAACTCAGACACAGTCTGTGCTTATTCCAGCAGGTATGTTTATTGGAAATAAACATACCTGCCAAAGGTATAGAATATTCCGTTTAAAATTTCTCGATTAATTAATTGCATTCAATTTACGGAAAAGTATAATTTTTGACAAAGGTCTCTGAAAGTGTCCGAAAATATTCATTTTTCTACTAAAAATGCCTCCTGGAATAATAGAATAACAACTTTTGAATTTAAATACATATAGACATACAAAATTCATTTAACTGAAAATAAAAATTAATTAAGCTGAAAAGTACCAAGTGTTAAATTTTATTTTATATTTTCTATTCATATAATAACTAGATAATGTCCGATATATTAATTCACCTAACTTCTATCATTAATTAGTAAAACAATAGTTTTGTTTTAATTGATAATATTGATCAATGCAAATTAACAGTATTATTTTAACACAAAATTTTAAAATAATTTAATGATACATTAATTGTTTATTGTAAATATTTATTTCCTGTTTAATAAATAAGTAACTATAAATACATAACTGTTTGTAAAAATTGCAAACTCTCGAAGGAGGGTGGAATTACATGCAATTTGCAGTTTAAGTAGAACAAGGTGGGACATGCAAATACAATCGAACTTCCCTATTACAAACTTCTATATAGTGAATTTCTTTGTATAATAAATTTTTGCATTGTGCACTGCTCTTTCAGCCAAAAATGCATGTAAAATTGCTTATAAATAATGAAGTTAAATTTCTATATAACAAATTTTTTTAATTTGTAAGGACCATCAATCATTAAAAGTTGATTATTCCATCTATGTTGAATTCAAATTTAAGTTCAATTTCAGGTATCAATCTGTAAACCCTTTGTAAAACCATGGCTCAGATGTGAAAAATAATGGTCATTAGTTTTAAAACCATCATGTAATCTGCTCCCATGTTGCTATCGACTGTTAAGAAGGGGGTAAGAGATTAGGTCCAAATGGCTTTATTGACAGTTGAATGATTGAATGAAGGAGGAGGAGGAGGAAAGGTAATAAATTTTGAGGTTAGTGAGATTTTATTTTATTTAATAAGTTGTCCAGTTAGAATTTGAAGAACTGTTAGTATAGTATTTAATTAAGCATTACTAAAAAAATGTGTATTATAAGAAGTTGCTCAAGACTCAAAAGAGACATTGTAGCAAAGTTTGGAGTAGTTTATCAATCATAACAATTGCAAATCAATTTTGAAATTAGCCAATGACGACCTACAGGAAAACATATTAAAATCTGCATTTATGTCTATATAGATGAAGCAGTTTTAATGCTTTTAATAAGTGTGAAGCATATTATGAAGAAAACATTTTTTAATTAAATAGACACCCACAATTGCTGTAAATCATCGGGATATAATTTGGAAATATTAATTATGAATTACAAATAAATTTGGCACTAGAGGAAAGCGGTCGGCGCCATCTTGTATTAAATTTAATAATTATAATAATTGGAAGAAAAAAATCAGCCCAATTATTTACTGCAATCACGGGTGTCTATTTGCTAAGCATCGGGTTTCGGTAGATGTTTATATCTGCATTTTTTAATTGTTCTGTGCAAAAAATTAAAAATTTTTTTAATGAAAATGTAGTTAAACTAAGTTGTAAGTATTTAACACACAAATGTAACCTTACTTAAAATTAAAACTATGTTTATATTATATTATTACTGTATATTATTTTTATATTAATTTAACTTACATAAAATAACAAAAAAATTATGTTAAAATGATACTTTATTTACCAAAAAGTGTAATTTCTGTATAATGAAATTTCCCTATAGCAAAATTTTTTTCAAAATTTAGCATCTGAACTGCAAGTGCTACATAAGGGATGTTTTAGAAGCTGTAGTAGTGTCTAAGGCTGGAAAATCGAGACTTTTTTTTTTACTCCAGATTGATATTTTCAGCTTGCTGATTCCAACACTGACTCCTTAGTATTTATTTATATTATCCACCATTTCATCACTGACTTAATTGCGATCATAATGTACTAACTAGCAATGGAATGGTAATCTAATGATAATTCAAATTCTTGGCCGAATTTATATTTCTTTCAAAAAAAGCCTTTATGTTCTTAAAAACATTCCACCTGGTAACTGTTATAGCATCTGAAGAACTCAGGAGGAGTTGGAAAATGTTTGTGATAGTGTTTGTTTTTATTATTTCATACCAGTCATTGGTTCTATGTATGTTGTCTAATAATAACTAGAGAATTGTAGCTAGTCATGTTATTTGGATATGCAGGTGGCAGGTTTGTTGCTTGTAGGTTTGTACCTAACAATACAGAGATTGGGAAGTTTATATGAAAGGTGCAGATGAAAGATGGTTTCTGGTATCAATGGGATTGTTAGCTGGTGAAGGAGTAATACCTTTAATAAATATAAATTACAACATTTTTACAAAGGTAAAAAACTTTGTTTCTGTCAATCTTTCTGCTGTTTCGTTTCTACACCATCAGTGATCCTTAAGACAATTCACATAAGTTTCGGAGATGACCTTCCTTTTAAGGCCACTGCCTCCACAAAAAGATGCAAAGTTAGGCAAAGCATCCTCTGGTGTTCATTTACCTTTGTAAAAATGTAGTAATTTATATTTATAAAATGTAATTAACGCCGGCCATGGTCTTTTTACTATTTTTTATTTAAAAGAGTAATACCTTATAAGTTTAGAGTTTCAGATATAACAGTGAGGAAAGGCACAGACTTTGCAGACACAGATGATTCCACATATACGTTTGGTATTGGTATGTCTTGAGAATTGATATTGGTATGGTTTAGAACAGTTCTGTGCACAGGTTATTCCTGTATGATGGATAAGGTCAAGCAGATGTAGTCTTGATGGACTTGTAGATCCATATACTACACTTCGATAGTCTAGTTTTGCCAGTAAAAGTGACTGGTAGATTTACTGCATAGTTTACTGGTTAGTTCCCCAAGGGGTATTGTATAGGATTTTCAATATGCAGCAGACACTCCCACACCCAGACTGATCAAATGCAACCAAAAATTTTTGAAAATATTGTACACTACTCTGAAACTTAACTTTCCATAGTGCATTGTACACATTATTTATTTTTATTTTAAATTAAAATTGCCTTGAAATTTCTAGAAGAGCAAAATGCATCAACAACCACTGATTTGATAATGATGAGGAATTGGCGTGATGTGGCAGCTTGTCAGTGAATCAAAAACAAAACAATTAACAATTGAAAGTATTATGTTAAAGTTAAAAATAAATGTCAAAGTCAAAATAAATATGTTTTATACATACAGTAAGCATATACATAACAATCTGATTCAAAAATTATCACACTCCCTTATCTGAATTTTTCTAATATCCAATCACTCCCACCCAGAGGTGCCAGTACACTGGGGCACTTAGAGAACATGTCCCTTTGTTGTCAAATTGCCCTTTTCTTAATCTCTAAGAGAGCTTTAAGATTTAATTTTATTTACTCATTTTTATCAGAAAAAACCTTCTGATGGCAAAATTAAAATAAAAATATCTGTTATTAACTGAAAATTTGTTCCAGAGGTCATGATTGTTTGGTCAAGTACAGAGGTGCCACTGTATTTGATACATGCAACATCAAGGGATACCTGAATATATACAGGTACACACATGTAGTATGCCCTTTCTTATAGCTTTTTTATAGTCTGTGGGCACCATTGCTCCCACCCATATTAGTTTGGATATGGAGGAACCTACTGTATTCATTGCATATGTACAGTACATAAGCCCTTTAGGTAGTTAATATGAAGTTTAAATGTAAGGGACTTCTCAAAGATTATTCTCAAGAATTTGGTTTCTGTTTGGACTGTTATTTGGGTATCTCTGAGTTGGATAATCAGATCATGATGTAGTACTTGAATTCTACAAAAATAGACAAATAATTTTTGTTGTTAAGAAAGTAAAATCATTTGACTTTGCCAGGATCCTAATTTATTTATTGTCAGTAGTAGACATCATTTGACTCTGATGATATCTGCTGCTGCACAATGTATCTAAGTCATTGACATACATTGATCCTTCTATATTAAACATTTGTTTTGATAATTTACTGATTCATAAAATAAACATCAGTGGTACGGTAGTACTTCTTGTTCCTGTTGGAATGCATCTGATAGTGTATTTCCAATTTAGATTTGAAAGAACTGATTTGCAAGGAATCTCTCAATAGATGCTGATAGGTTTCCCCTTAGACCAGGGATCACCAAACTTTTTTCACAGCAGGCCAGATAACCGAGAGAATGACAAGCGCAGGCCATATAACCATTTTGTTCAGTGCAGCACTGAATACACAATAAATAAAAACAATCAACATATTTACCAATACACAAACATAATCGCTGCAGCAAGCTCACAATCACTTCCCTTAGAAACTTCATTGCAGATATTTACAAAAAGCACTCTGATATCCAAAGTCTCAAAATGTTGCCAAATTGTTTATTTCACTGATTTATCTAAAAATTATACAGTAGTATCTCAGGATATGAATGCTTCAGCATACAAAATTTTCAGGATACGACATGAAATTCAAACATATTTTTTGCTCCACAGTACAAACAAAAACTCACCATACAATGTTACATTAGCTTGCAGCGCCACTGCCATGATCACGTGTTCCTCCTGTTCATCGGTCTCATTCCACATGTTTGTTTCATCGTGGAATGATCTCGCTCAATAAAGGAAATCTTGAGTTGTTATCAGAAAGTGACTGATTTTATTGAAAAGAAATATCCTGAAAAGGTTCACACTGGCCGTATTGCTGCTAAGTTTAATGACATTTGCCTAAGTCATTTTAGAAACATTT